GAATACAGCTTTGTGGTTCCCCTGCTTCTGACATGATTTGGTGCTCCCATATATTTGTAGGTTTTGTTTGTTTTTTTTTTTTTTCATTAGAGCTTGTTTTGCTATAGGGCTGCTTAACACTGTTCTCAAACGGCTTTTGCAAGGTTAAAGGAATGCAGCTTGGTAACAAGTTTGTGTCATTTTAAATATATACCTCCCAGTAAATAAGGAGGAACCTTGCAATCAATCCCTTTTAGTGTGTTATATGTTTCACCTGACAACTAAACCCTCTATTGATTAACCATTACTTTGTTAGATAATCTCGTGTCATTGAAGCCACTGTAAAAATTAAACTCTTTAAAATGTTTTACCCTAGCAGCAGTGCGAAAATTGAAAACTTGTTCAGAATTACAGCCAGCTTCCACAAAGAGGGTAGTTTTCAACAAACTGGTTTATGTTTGCATGCTTTATATGCAATATAAAAACATATTAAAGCACTCCAACGCAAAGCTATCTGCCTGTGGCGTTGAACCAGGCTACCATTTCAAACTGCTTTTCCTTGGCAAAGAAACCTCTTATCTTGATGAAAGGTGAGGAGAAACTTCAGCAGTTTTGGTGCAAATTAGATGAGATTAGTAAAAGGATCGAGCTTTAAAGGTGAGCTTGAGAAATTTGCCTTTCTGAGGCTTGATTCTGGTTTTGATTTTCTTGGTTTTCTTCCAGGTTAATCGATGTTCCCATAGGCATTGGAATGAATGAAAGGAGGTACTCTGATGTTGCAGTGTAGCATGAGACACCGTCAAATGTTTCACCTAAAATGTAGGGCTCTGTACTACTACTTCATGATCTGCCATTCATTCTGCATTCAGTTAGGTCTATCCACTAGTAACTGTTAGTGTACGAACACAAATGTGACAATATCAGATGAAATCAAATCTCCATGTCCAGCAGTGATCTTGTGTCTCACAGTAGCCAGTAACTGCTACCTACAGAGAAACATTAGAAGGCAACTGCATAGTACTACCTTCACAATATATTCTCCCAGCTTCTTATGACCTGACTTCATGAGCCAGATGCAGCTTCTTTGCAACATTATCAATGCACTTGCATTGAGACCTATTAAGTAGAGCGGCATTACCTCTTTCTCCCCTGGACTTTAAGGGAGAACTAGGCTTTCTTTTGCATTTTTGCTTTAGACCTTTTTAAACATATTGCAGAATGTGCACGTGAATCATCTTTTCCCTTTTTATTCATCCCACAAGGCTAATAATGCATTCTTCTGTGAGAATGTGAAAATAAGAACAGAAGAACTTTGCAAACATAGTGATGGACGTTGAACTGAAGTTCACTGTATGTTTTATTCTCAAATCTGTGTCCTGATGGGTTGAATCCATTATACTTATGCCTTTTAATTTTCTTTTTTTTTCCTCACTGCTTTTATTGAGAAACAAAGCTGCTGAAGGACTAAATGGTTGTCTGGTAATTTGGCACTTACATAGGTCTTTACGTAATAAAATTATTGTGTAAAAGTTGATTTTCACGGTAAAAGCATGATGTTCTCTCCTTTCTGTGGCTGAGAAGATTGGGAAGGAAGAATTTAAGTATAATTGGCATGTTGTCAAAGGGCAGAGAGGTATTGATAGTGCGGGAATGCCCAGGTTGATCAAACCCAGAGTCTGCTCATCCAGTGCCGACTCCAGCACTGTCAGTGGAAGATACTGTTGAGTGAGAGCAAATGGGTCTGGCCGCTCGCAAATGGGTCTGGCCGCTCTCTGTGCTCCATTCCCCTCCTATGCCTGCAGCATCTACTGCTGTTGCACTAGGGATGTCTGGGGGATATCTCTGCTGAGTACTCTATGGACCTACTGTCCATGAGTTTGTTTAATCCCTTTTTCCACTTGCTGATGTTCTCTCCACAATGTCCTGGGGCAGCAAGCTCCAGAAGTTCATTGCCTGCTGTGTGAAGAAATGTTTCATTTTATGTGCTTTGAATTTATACTATAGTCATTCCATCAAGTGTCACTAGTCCTAGTATTGTGGGATTTGATGAACAAGTTATGCTGGAAGTTCAGTTAGTGCTGTTCGCACTGAGATGTAATGTGTGGATTAATAAGTGAAGTAATAAAAATGAAGCAATACATTGGAATAATTCTTTGTATCTACATTCTAACATGCATACAACTTTTGAATAGTGGCATAGTGAACTTCCTTCCTTCTCAGAAAGTTTTAGGGCTTTTAGATTTAGTATTTAGTATTTCACATTGTGTATTTGCATTGTCTGCTCTTTCCCATTTGTAAATGTGAGAGAAAGCCTGTTGTAAACCTGGCTTTCAAAAAGCTGGCTTGCTACCAAAGGTTGTGCATACCTATCTTGGGAGGAAAAAGACTGACAAGACCTGAGTTTGGTTCATGGAGCCACAAGCTTCCTTGTTGCTCTTGGTAAATGTTTTTATGGCTGAGCTTTTCATCTGCAAAGTGGAGTTAGTAGTGGCTTGCTTCGAGTCAGGGCTCTTCTTAGAATTTACAGTATGTAGCAGGTAAGTTGTGCAGAAATACTGCTGCTGGAATTTTAGGAATTGAAGTACAAATGGAAGAAATCACAGATGTACAATAAATGGGTTAAATTACACAAATGTAAATTCTGAACAAAGAATCTTATCAACTCTTCATGGTTTTTCACCTTCAGAATCTGGTTGAATTTAACTAAGACAATGCTTATAAAATGAAGTTTGCATGGTATTGTCTGAACATCAGTGCAAAGCAGATGGTGTCAACTTTCTGTCCACCAGTTGGGCCGCTACATCTATAGTAGTTTATGCCATTCTGATCTTTCTTCTGAGGAGACTGTGCATACCAGAGTGATGGGTTTATGATGTTGGCAAATATTTGCAAGAGGCTAAATAGAGTCCATCAGACTTGTGTTTGCTTGTGACCTAATCCCAGTTTGAATCTCAACCTCCCCTGCTGAAAGATGCTCTCTGTTCATCTGCACAGCACTTTGAAAGGATTTGTGTGTTAGATTTTTTTTCATTTTGTCCTTCTGCATCTAGAGCCAGAAATTGCTAGCTGGCTGCTAGTCACAGCAGACATCTATGTTATGACTTGTAAGGAGATCTGCTGGAGCCAGGATATTCTGCATTCCTGTCTGTCACTGGTGGTTTTCTGGTTAGAGAGCTCACTGAGAAATAAAACATGAACTGCTGAAGTGATGGAGAAGACAGGACTTCTGTCTTTTTTTGTTTCTGTTTCATGGTGAACTTTAAAGGGAGTCTGTAAAGAAGTAAGGTGGAAAGGACTGTGATTTCCTGAATTTCGCCAAGAGTCAGAGCCACCTGAGCCAGTATACTGATTTCCCATGGCAGGCAGTAAGGAGTGTTTAATGAGGATCTTAAGAACTCAGGTGAATTGTGTTGTAAGCTGATTGTGAACACTCAGTTCCCATCACTTGGTGCTTACCGTCCTCCTGAGCTGGCGGCTGATAGGAACACTGGGTTTGTGGACCTATCTCGTATCACTCAGCATAACCCCCCTTTAAGATCTTTGCATTCTTCCCTCTGATGTCCCTTGCAGTATGTTCTGCTGCTGGTTTGTGTGTTAACCACATCTTGTGCAGTCAGGCCTGTGACAGGGGGACAAAAAGGGGAGATCGTTTGTTGGTGCTTGGTGCCGAGGGAATCTGGCTCTGGTGACATAGCTTTGGAGCGGAGGGAGAGGTTTAGGAGCCCTTAGCATGCCAGTGTTGCCCACAGGTTTGGTAACCTATGGCAGGTTTGGGATTGAATTAGTTTCAAATCAAACAAATAGAAATCCATAGCAAACCCTGAAAGAAGGATCCTCAGAGATTGCCAGCGAATATTACAGGGAGAGAACCAACAGGCAGTTCACTACAAATCTTTGTGCATCCTCCCCTTAAGGCAATCTTAAAAATATCATGAATGTTAGTATGTTTTACTTAGTGCTCTTGGAAATGTCTTTGTAGCAAGTTTAATTTCATTCTCTTTCAGCATGCTTCTTGGGTTTTCCCCACACAACTATTTGAGGTAGCAGCATCTTCTCTGTGGTCCACTTACTACCCTTGCAACAAAGCAAGGTTGTGCTTGCTTTTGGACTGCCACTTTTGCTTGGGAGCAGTTTTCTGTAAATGGCAACAGGCGCTGAGGTGTTAATCCAGTACTGGAGCTCTTAGGTGCTACTATACTCCTACTAATACTAGAAAATGTGAGCTTAATCAAGTAGTAATTAAAAAGGTATTGAAGGCGGGGAGGGGGAGCCTCCATTAGAAACTCCTGAACTCTTCAGGCATCTTAGTTTAAATAGCCAATTCAACCAAAGTATAATTTTAAGCACACTTCGTAAGTGCATACTGTTCATATGCTGCCCTTAAAAAAGGGAGAGACTATGAGCAATGTGCTCTGCAAAGACTCCAAAGTCTGCAGCCCCAGCTGAGGGGTCCCCTGGGCAGGATAGTGTATGAGTTAAAGAAAAATGACATTCTACTTCAAAAAAAAAAAAAAAAAAAAGCTTTCCAAAATTGGGAAGATTAAATACAAAAATACAACAAGTGAGATGTGCTCTGCATTTGCTGCCTTCTGATTATAACCTTCGTACTGTCCCCATGTATTTTTACCTGATAAAGACAGGGCACGTTTATTAACATTTGACATATGCTGTGATAACTAGTCTGTAGATGTCACCTTGCTTTAGTTGTTCAGTTATGCAGCATTTTGTGGAAGACTGAACAATTGAGATCAGATATGTTTCTTCTTTTTGAAAGGAAAAAAAGGAGAAAAATATTTTTTTTTCTTTGTATCTTCGAACTGTAAAATTGTATGTAGCTTCTCAGAGGACGTGCATGCCCTGAACATAGGCTTTTGCTGTAAACTAGTTTATTTTGGTTTGAAACGTTTACACCTTAGGAAAAAGGGAATGTAGTAGAGTTGTTGTGGGTTCCTTTGCCAAAAATGTGGTGCCTGAAAGAAAATTGTGTTCTTCTATTCATAACCATTTTAATCTTTCTGCAGACCTACAACAGCTGTGCCAGACTGTGCTTAAACCAGGAAACAGTATGTCTAGGAAGCAGTGCTATGAAGACTGAAAATTGTGTGGCCAAAGTAAGTAAGATAACAGCTTTGGTTTTGGGGTTTTTTTTAGCAGATTGTTCATTGTTAATCAAAGAAAAGTTCTTGTTAAAAATTACAATTAGAAGAAAATACTTAAACAGAAAGCAAGTATTTTGGCTATGCTTTTCTGTCCTTCAGTGTAGAGATTTCAGACTTGCTGTTTTTCTCTGTGGGAAATGATTATTTGAGTCCTGAGCTATCTGATTGAAGGGTTCATTCTGCTCTACAAGTAATAGGCTTTTCCAGTGGGATGACCTATGCCTGCTATGTAATTAGCTGTGGCAACTTCAAATGATAGATGTCCAGATACATGCTAAAAATACTGCATGAGAGCTCTTTGTATCATGGTTCCCTTTTTTAGCTACCAGAGGGGAGGTAGGAAAAGAAAGACCTTTTAATTAAAATACAGTGAATGCTGTATTTAAGGGAAAGGGAGGAGGGAGATACGGCAGTCAGAATGGTAAGAAAATGGATATATTAGCCCGTCAGAGAAAAGTCATTCCTTGAGAACTGTAGTAGATGTGATTGGAAAAGATAAGGTACTGTTAGCCACCCTCTTTTCTTAAAATTCGGCATAACTAGAGTAAAATAACATACATGTAAGGCTGTTTGTGAATGGAAAACATTTGAACCATGATGCAGTATGTTTAGAAAGGCTGCACGAAGGATGCATTTAGCCTTGTGTAAGCTTCATATTTCCACTGAAAGGAAGTTTAGAATGGGCATGCAGGACAGATCAGTGCATGCAGCCATCTGTTACCAAAACCAGCTGGCATTTTGTTGCTCCTCTGTCACCACAAACCTGACCACTTAAAAGCCTGTTTTCTCTTTTGGTTATTTATTCCTTGATCTCAAAGTATTATTTTTTTTTTCATACTTTGTATGGTTGTTAAAAGTGCCTTGTCCCTTTAGGGGCCACTTTTATATTGACCTTTAAGATAATTTCCCAGCTAAATCTTTGCTGGGATTTTGCTGGTGAAATTTGAATGTCCCATTACTTTTGATTCCTGTCAGGGAATTGGCCATCATAAAAGTTTGTCATGGTGCTTGCAGGTGGCTTAGCGCTCATAAACTGTGCTTGACATGCCAGGTTACCTTCCACTGGAGAAGCACTTCTGAGAGAAGGTACCAATCTTCGTACAAAGTGCTAATATTTAATACCAACACCTCCATGCTTGACTTAAGATGAGTGGTATTGCACACTGCTTCCTCAGGTGCTTTATGATACAAAGTATGTGAAACTCTTTAAGCAAGGTGCCAGAGCAGCTTTGACTGAATTATATCATTGTACAGCATCGTTCTGATGCCATGAAGCAGCTCACAGCAAGCTAACTAGAGTAAACCCATTCAACTCCATCTGCTTTATATCATCTTGTTTGACCTGATCGTCTTACTAAGGAGCATGGATGTGCAAGAGCTACAGCGAATTTAAGTGATGCCTCTTTTAAATGAAATGACATACCTTTAACATACTAATGCCCTAAATAATAAACTCTCCTAAAATTAATGTTTTCAGTGGGATCGTGGTAAGAGGTGTGGGTAGGGCTCCAGGCAGGAACGGCAAGACTTGTTTCATGTTACTGAGGATGAATTTGAACCATCACGCTGGTGATGAAAAAGCATATGTTTTTAAGTATTGTGTTTCTACATGCTGTAGGACAAAGTATATGTATATATGCTGTAGGAAAATCTGCCATCATACATATATGAAAAAACATATATATACATGCATATATATCACACATATATGTGTGTGTATGTATATATATATATATATATATGAAAAAACATAAGGACTTTTCTGGGGATGTAATTCCTCTAGTACTAGCTTGCCTGACTGTTGTACTCCTTTCCTTTGCCTTCCCAGCTACAAACCAAAATGAAATAGGTTCTAAGAAAGCTTCTCTTTCAAATTCCAGAAGTGTTGAAGCATTTATAAATCCAGTTAGCTAAATGCAGATGACTCAGTGATGGCATAGGCAAATGGCAGAACTGTAAAATGTTCCCTAGGTGAAGGGCTGAAATGGGATTTAAGGAGTTCAGAGGCCTTCTCCTAGCCTTGTGCACATGGTGAGTTTTGTCCGCCATGATTGATGTGTCTTACAGCCTTGGACTTTAAAATGCTTTGTCAAGAGGGTGAATACTGGAAAGTACAACTGTGGGTTCTTTATCTGCAGCACTTTTCCAAAAGTATTGTAGAGTTTTCAATATTTTTTTTTTAAACTATCAATGAAAGTAAAAAAAGGATTACTTTGGAAATTATGATTTACCTTTTCTGATTCTGCAGTGCAGTATCAGCCCTGACTGGGAGCCACAGTCAGCGCTATCACATGCTTGTCAGGCGTGTCAGTCAGTCTGCAAGAGACGATGGTTTATCTGAAAACAGAATTTCTGTTTCTGCACCTACTTGCACAAAAGAAAATTGTGCTCTGTTAAGACTGTATTAATGCCATTTACTGATCATGTGCTTGATGTTTCTAAAGTTTGTTCAAAGAATGAAATGCAGTTTCCCTTAAGACCGCACACATCAATACTGAGAGATCTTTTTTCAGACCGAAGCACTGTCCATCCATCAAGCTCTGTTGTGAACGAGTGCTTCTGTACAGGACATCCAGATATAAATTACCAACCAAACAACTGGCATTCTGTCTAAAATGGAGGGAAAAGAAGTTTATAATAAAAAGATACGCATTTTCAAGTACAGAAAGTAGCATAGGGCTACTGTCTTTTTTGACTGCTCAAGTCTGTCTGTTAGGAAACCATGTCTGCCTGGTTTTCTATATGGTGTCACGCTGCCTCTGCAGCCAGGTGCTCAGTGGCTTTTGCAAATCTATGGATTATTTAATTTTATTCAGACATTTAAAAATAAAACTAGAATATCATGTTCTGATGAATCTTTGTATATTGTTCTTAGCCTTGCTATTCTGGTGTTTGTCCTCTGAAACTCCATTGATGGGACTTGGGCATATTTGGGTAGAAGCAACTAAGGAGCAGTAGAAATGGTTTCAAGAGTGCGCATGTTTTGACTGAAGAGGTGGGATCTTAAAATAAAAATTATATATTGTGATGTACAGATGTGACCTGTGTGATTTGTAACATCAGTTCTCTTCCATCCTCAGGAGTTTTTGTGTTAATCTTTTGGCATCATTTTGCTAATCACCTTTGAGTGATCAACTCTGATGTATATTTAACCTAATGTCTTTAAAAAGGAAATGCAATCTCTAATTGTTTTTTTATCTATGTGCGTACACACACACAAACACATATATAAACTTCTCCTGTTTGTCCTTTAGAAACCAAAAATGTCTACAGGAGGATTTCTGTTTATGATGCTGCTGGTGTGCAACCACAAGTGGACAACTGTCTCAGGAATTGGTGCTAGGTGCTTAAATAAGGTAGAAATGTAGCATGAACCTGAGCTGCAAGGACAGGGTGTTTGGTTTTAATGAGGCTTATTGAAATCTGGCCAAATGAGCATCTGTTCCTATTGTTTGCTCCATATTTTGTAAGCCAGTATCTTCAGGCCAGATAATGGTGTTGGTGTGTGCTTCATCCTCAATTAGAGAGGGGCACAGTTAAAAATCCCCTGGCATCTGGTATGGCACTAGGATTCTTGTGATGCTCCTGGGTGTGCAAACAAGTTTCTCTTCTGTTCTGCACCCAGGACCACTTACTTTCTGTGGTGACCTTCATACTTTCTATTTGCTGTGCAGTGAGTGATGCTCTGGTGTGTCTCCAGTCTCCTTGGCTGAGTCTTTGCTTGGATGGATTATATATATTCCTGTTTTCAAACAGAGGTCTTGCCTTTTCACCCTCTCATAATGTAGGCTGTATTAGGTTTGAGTGTTGCTGTTCGCTTGGAGTCTGTTGGATTTTGCATTTCTCTGGATAATGGAAATAGCCTTTTGATTCAAAGTGCTCTTTTCTTTCCCAGCGAGAGACTGGTGTATAGCAGATCTCACAGAGTTCTACAGTCAATACCCATTTCCTGCATTCATTAGACAGGTCTTTACTGTTTATTAACTCCTGCAGTCAGTTCCACTTCATCTGTATCTGCTATTTAAAGACGTGTTCTCAGTTTCATTTTGCACATTGAATTCTTTCCTAGATGTGCTAGGGATAGGCAGCCTATGGCATACCTGCCAGAGACAGCACAGACACCTTCTAAATGGCGTGCAGCATCCCCAGGTTTCTGCTTAGTTCTGAACTCAGCAGCAGCTGGGAGAGGTTCTCTGCCTCTAAATGAAATTGGAGGAAGAAAAATAGTCATGCATACCACCCTTGAAAAATTAGACTTCTGTTTCTGGCCACTCCTTGCTACCCACATGTGATAACTAGTCCTGCTTGTTAAGGTCCTGGCAAACCAAGGGACTTCTCAGAGTCTTTTAAGCATGTTGTGTCTCCTAGGGGGTCTTTGGCTGCTGTTCATCAGACTTTTAAATGTTCATGCTGCAGTGGTTACAGTATTGAACTAGGAATCTAGAAGGGGTTTATACCCTTTATTTTTAGCACTGTTATTTTATTCTCTGTGACCATGATGGCTTTTCTTGCTCCTCTTTAAAATGGAAACTGAATAATACTCTTGCAGAAATGTTGTGAAATTTAACTTTATGATGCTTTTTTGACCCTTGGATGAAAAGTCCTGCTTAAGCATGCAGTCATGTCCTGCCTGCTCAGCAAGCTCTTTGCAGTGTACAGGGGACAGAGCAATGTTCTGCTCAATTCTGGAAACACAGAACAGGGCTTGGCACTTCAAATATGCAATGTGAAGTCTTCTTTCAAAGATGCATAGTGTTATTTAGCTATAGCTACACATTTTACATTCAAGGACAATTCAGCTAAAGCAAGGAGTGGTGGAAATAGCTGGTAACTGAAATCTACCTTCCTTTGTCGGCTCTTTCTGCATCGCTACTTCTGAATTTTTAGAATAAAAATAGTCTGCACAATAATAACATTGAGCTCAGAATTTGTATATGAATTCAAAGGAGAAA